GTTTTGAGGTTATTAAAAAATGTTTTGAATTTCCTCAATAGACTTTGTCAGAAAACATGTCTGCTTCTCTTTATCAGGTAGGTCTGTAATTGTTATTGGAAATATGCAATCTGTCACTGAGCATATTTTATTGTGGGCGCCCCTTTCAGAAATCCATTGTCACAATGTTCATGGCCGTTCACAGGTGCTCTCAAATTTTAATATTTAAACAGCTTCCCTTTGTTTGCACATGATGGAAGGAAGCTGACTGTGTGAGGCACACCAGACAGATCCTGCAAATGCATTCAAGCTGAAAATTAAAGTTTCACCATTCGTTTGCATTATTAACAGAGGAAGGACACTCTGGAACAGATTGAATAGTATGGCTGCGAGCTTCTGTGTCTAATTATGCATCAAATAGTCAACAGTATGCAGAAATTGGGCCACTTTTCCCTCTCTCCGGTAAAAGGAATATACATACTTCTGGCAAGAACTTTAAGCATGACTCAGCTGTGTTTCCGCTTGCCAGCAACGACTGGCGGATCAAGATCTGTAATTGGGAACGGAATTCTGAAGTGACAGTAACAAATTAAGCCACATCCCGTTGTGGGGCAGAGAGCCTACCTCAGGGACGCAGTCGCAGGTGTTTCCAGCTAACGACTTTCCAATTAAGCACACCTGTGGCCAGTTAAGCCTCGTTAAGGACGCTGGGATCTTCAGTCAGTGCTCTGAGGTGCAACTCGTATGGTAACTTCAAGCCCAGTTCCTACAACTGCTGTTTTTTGTTTTGGCATTATGTGTCTTTTCCCCCCCGTGTACAGTGTTTAACTGTTTTTTGCTTTGAACCCAGCTCCCTGGCCCCCTGCTCTCCGCTGCCTGCCGTCCCGGCTCCAGGTCTCCTGTGTTTGTTGTTTTTTGTCCCTACATCTGGGAGCAAAACATTAGCGTGCCCACCTCTAGAGACTGCCAGACCTTCCCTCCTCAATCAAAGCCAATCAAGCGTGTAATTAGGATTATTAGAGGCATAAATAACAACTGAAAATATTTTGATGTTAAAGGTTGCGGCACGGTGGTGTGGTGGTTAGCACCGTCGCCGCACAGCAAGAAGGTTTTGGGTTTGAGTCCCGGGGGACCCAGGACCTTTCTGTGTGGAGTTTGCAGGTTCTCCCTGTGTCTGCGTGGGTTTTCTTCGTGTTCTCCGGCTTCCTCCCACAGTCCAAAAAACCTGCATGTTAGGTTGATTGGACTTTCGAAATTGCCCTTAGGAGTGAGTGTGAGTATGTGTGGTTGTTTGTCCTTGTATGACTTGTGTGGCCCTGCGATTGACCGGCGGACTGTCCAGGGTGTACCCCACCTGTCGCCCGTTGACCACTGGGATTGAAGAGCATTAACCAACATGGATACTTGTTGGCAGTTCACACTTATTCTCACACTATTGCTAGTGTTGCTGCTTTTGAAATAAAGAATTAAAAAAGATCCTTTTGACACACAAAGTTTAATTTGGACCACCATGAGATGTATTAATGTCCCACAGTTTTATTCAGAAAGCTGGCAATCAGGGCAAGTATAACATGACTAAAGATAAGATAAGTTGTGCCTGAATCCATGTCATTTACTCATTGTTTAGTGCATTTTAGATTTATTCTCATACAATGAACACAAATAACGTTGAATACATGTCATTATTCAACATTATTTGAATTAATTTTACATTTCAGTGGACTCTGTATTAAGAAGTTCCTGGCTTGCTCATGTCAGAGATAAATGGCCAATGAGACTTGTGTTGTTTTATGTCCTTTCTACAGTACATGGCAGACCCGACCCAAGAGGATAATGGTACATCACACCCAGAAATTCTCTGTTTGTCTCTTTGTTATTGAGATTTTCAGGGATCTTTGTCTGTCTGCGCCCAGAGCTGCATTACTTTACCTGTGATCTGTATGAATTATGCTGGTAATTTCTCCGGCTTCCAAAAAAACAATCAGGCATTAGAATGATATTTAATGGGAAATCTTTAGGGTTTTCAAAACTAAATCAAACTTAAAAAACTAAACTAGAAATTATCTGATTGCCTCAGATTGGCAATTATTTTTTAGCATAAACCACCTTGACAAAAACGTACAGCCACTGTCATATGACCAATAGTTTGTGGCTAACAAGCTGATCTTCAACTTAATAAAACATCTGTTTATATTTTTGTTTTCTGTACTAAAGATATTAATGTTTTATACACATTTTTGTGACGTCAGGAACCTGGTAATAGCTTATTGACTTAATTTATAAATAAATAAAAAATCTGGGTACATCAACACATCAAATGAGAAAAATAACATTTTGCCCTACAAATGGAACACAATTCTTATGAAAACGCAAATGAATACATTTATTCTAAATTCTCTGGTAAATCTATATTCTATTACTATAATAATAATAGTAATAATAATAATAATAATTATATTTTTTAAATTATTATTATTCATGTATTTATTGGTTTAAAAATTGAATAATTGTAGACATTTTTTAGCTACTTGACAATTTGAAATGTCCCCAATGGGGGATGAATAAAGGATTTGTCTTTTTTATGGTTTTGGCTGACAGCTCTCAGATGGATCTCTTTGTTGGTTCTTTTATTCACCGTCTATGCCACTGGTGTTGGCATGATTCAGGGAAATATTCACTGTAGAGGGTTTTCAAAATGGAAAGCACACATGAGGAGGGTTTTTCCTGTGGGAAAGTATAGAATGAGAAATACATGACCTCTGGGCTTATGCCAGATATCACTCGGTGAAAGACTGAAGTCGAACAGTGCAGCTTGTCTGAGTAACACTCGGGCATTCAGTTGGTTCATGGATGAATCACACCGAAATCCTTACTGACTTTGCCTCTGGCTTTATGAACAAGATATTTTCTGTGAGTGAGACTATGTTATGAGATGTCTCATCACTTAGAATCTCATTTGTATAGATTATGTATTCTTGACATTCACCGAGTGTACCAATAAACCTGCTGAGATTTACATAAGAAACCAGCTTTGATGACTAATATATTCCCATGTATAGAACTGTCTATTTCCTTTATAAGTGACACAATATTTAAACCATATTGACATAAAACCAGTCAAAATTTTTAGAAATCAGTCAAAATCACCCTAAAAACTCAGTAGGGGTTAAGACTGATTGTTGTTCAGGAATTATATCAGGAATTATATCCATATATCCATGAAATCAAACTCTGTTGCATTGTAATTATTTGCATATGACAAGAATATTAGCTGTTCAGTTTTATTGTAATACGGCACAAATAAAAACATTCAAATTTGTTGAAAGAACATGACTATTCCTGCTGAATTTTGTTGCTGATAGCATAAAGTGCGGAATGGGGATGATAGCTTGGGGGTTGGAACATCTAGGACTGAGTTGACGTTGACTAAAATAACTACATCATTAAATGTTTGGATAATGGAGTCACTGAACTGCAAGTAAACGAGGATATTTTTCTTGTCACGACATTGTAAGGAGAAAAAGCAGAAAGGAAGAAATAATGACAGCGTTTAACAATGGATGAATGAGGAGAAGAATCATCAGAGGGATGACATGATGAAGATGTTTTTCATGATGATCCCTGGTCCTCTGCTCACCCTTGGGAGCATCCTGGTACCCGCCCCGCCCATAAGCAGCGTTGCCTCGGTGACTGCCGGTTTACGTGATGACGTAGAATGTATATGAGCGCAGGCGGCGGGATCTCTTTCCCTTTTACCGCCATCGGAGCGGAGTCTCTTTCTTGCCTCGGACTGTGTCACTGCGCAGCGTTGCTTATCCAGTCCAGCTTCCGACCGCAAAGCCAAGGTAAGGGACACGACTCGGGGGAAATTGCTCGACACTGAGTCCTAATAGCTCATGCATCGCCTCTTAAGTGTAATTGTTGTCTGCTGCCTGCAAAAAAAACAGCGCCAGAGGAAGACGGCTCTGCCTGGCTAATGCTAGTCAAGCGAGACAGCGGCAGCAGCCATTGAGACTGGCTCCACCATGATGTGCCTTAACGTTAAACGCGATTAAAAAAAAATCCAAAACAGCTATTATTCCGTTAGGTATCTGTCACTAGGTTATTTTGCTAGCACGTCGACCCGTATAAACGAGTAAACATTGTTAATTTATTGCAACTTACAACGCTCTTCAACATTTGTTGACACGTGTCTTGTATCTTGTTTTTGAAAAAATTTTTTACACGACCTTATTTTATTCGTTAGTGGATGGCTCTCTGGGTGGGGAAATGTGGATGGGACTCGTGACATTTCGCTGGGGGGGGGGGCGAAAGGCCAAGGTGGCAGGTCGAGTTTGATAACGAGAGGTATTACATAAGAGGAAAAAATGGTTAAAACGTGGTTCTGGAGCGGTGGCACAACTGGTCCATATTATATAGCACGGCACCCCGTCTGTCGAAGCCGTTCCTCCCACTTGCTCGGCGCAAGTAGTGCGCATCAAGCTAGCAGCGAATAAGCTAGCTTAACCGGCCGGATACAGCGAGGCAGTGCATCGATGAGACCGGGTAGGCCGGCTAAAGTTTGCCCATTTACTAGCTAACGGGTGGCAATTGCGTTGGAGGAGACGACCGGTCATGTGTGCGCGTAGAAGTAAAAATTCTCAACAGGTCGTCCAACTCGCTTGGGTCGAATTAAGCAGGGGGTTGAGAAGCAGGAAGGCTGACACCCACCAGGGCTATTTTGTCAGTCATTAATGGTTTGCTAGACTTCAGCATGCAACACGTGGTCGCTGAGCAGGACTTGGAAAAATGGTTGTCCTCACAAAGAAAAACGGGATGGTCTGCTGGTCCAGTTTTGACTTTTCCTTCAAAGTAGTAATAGATACCAAACATATTTATTTCTAACATGAATTAATTAATTTTTTTGTTGGTTAGACATCTGTATTTGTTCTTGGTGTAGGTTTTCTGTCCCCCCCCCCCCCCCCCCCGCATTTTGAAGCTACATGGATATTAGATGCCCTAATACCTCTTGACCAGCTTACATGGAAAACTCTGGAATCAGGATTTCTACCAAAGCTCAGTGCCCACCTGAAAAGATTATGTATTTATTATGAATTCATCAGTCATTTCATTCTGTCACTTTCTTTTGGTGCAAGACTTTCTCATGCCTTCATTGATTTATTGTAGAGTTGGAGTGAACCTTTTTTTAAATTATTTTTAAAGCCTGCAACACTTTTAAAGGATTGAAATATGGCCGCATTAGATGATGTGATCTGAGAATGTTATTTTTATGTTCTTTGATGCCTGTGTATTTGCATATTTTGACACAGAAGTGTGAATCTTAAGAGAACGTCTATAACAAGTGACAGGCTGCATAACCCAATTGAAAAATGGGATGTAATTAAAGCCATTGATCAGTCGATACATGGCGATTCCATTATTCTTGAGCCATCTATAAAGGGACAACTGATCTGATTTGTCACCTCATTTTGCCCCGGGCTCACGGAGCTGTCACCCCAGCTCTGATGCTGAGTAATGCCAAACACTGTCCACCTGTGATGCAGATATTGTTGTGATCCGATGGTGTTGTGGCGGTAGCTGCTTTTTACAAAAGCCTTTCAGCTTTGGTTCTTTTTGCTTGGGTCACTGGAAGTTTTGACATCCAGTTCGAGTATGTATGGGCAGCAGTTAGGTCACAGTTAAAGGTCGTCATTGGGAATAAATCCTATTTAAGGGACTCGAACCAGTTGATTTCATAGTATTTTTATAAGAGAGAAGTTTAAAATCTGATCATTACATCCCCAGTATCAGATCAAAGCAACAAAAGGCTACTTGCAGAACAGAAGCTTGTTAAAGCAGAACTTTTAAGATGTAGTTTCTGGGGAGCCCCCCCAAATAGAATTATGGGTGGCCAATGAATTGTTGATCATTTGAGATTTTCAAGAAGGCTCCAAACAGTTTTGCATTCTCAAGCTGGAGGCTTGTATAATTCACGTTCCTGAATTATGGACTGATTAAGTTTGCTTTTGTGGTCCTAATTGTCTTGTTGATTGTGGGGTCTGATTTATTTGATCATTGTTTTGTTGAGTCTCTTACCTGGATAATTTGAAATGAGTGGATATTTTCAGCTAAAGAGAACACTTGGTGGTTGTTGTTTTTGTTTATATAATATTGTTTCCCCACTTAATGTTGATACCATAATTAGCTATTAGCCAGGTACCCTGGCCTGGTATCGCCCTGTTTGGACCAAAGAAAACTTTAGGAATATATGTTTGGTCTGATATGTTCAGATTAAATGGGAAATTTGCACAAAAAAAAAAAACTGTAAAGTGAGACCAGAATTCTCAAATATAAAAGATAACTGCATTAATAAGCTCTTTGTTTAAAAATGAGATCTTCGTCTGAAGGGACATGTTTTTGTTTTGATTTTATTTGCGTTTTCTTGTACAGTTAAGAATGGAGGGGAAAAGGCACATTCTTTAGTCAGCCATTGCATATTAGCTGTTAGTGAAGTGGTGTGTTCCCTGCTGCGTGGGGCTTCGTTTTATATGCATTTTTTATGGATTTCTGAAATTAGATTCTGTACACACAGCAGTATCTTTGCCGTAGGATTACCAAGTTGAAATGCTTCTGTTCATATAGCCACATTTTGAGGAGCATTATACTAGTTTTGTAAAATTTCAATCGCCTTGTGACATTTGAATATGAAATGAAAACGAATACTTATACTCCCAATGCGATATTCCTATGTTTATGTAATCGGGTAAGAATGAGGTCATTGGTTCTTCTATGGTTCTTCTAGCTTTTGTGGCACACTAATAAAGATTTGATTAAACCTTTTTTTGGTTTGGCTATAGATTAAAATATTTAGCTTGCGACAAGCCAACACTTCTGATGCTCTGATTAGTTAAACCGTGTGTGCAAAATGCATCACAAGTCCTTAGTTTGTACAGTATTTTTAGGTTTAAGTAAAATTCAAGCGTGGCCATTTTACTTATTTTAGATCGGTGTTATTGTCTAATGGTTTCTCTGTCCCACATCTAATCACTGCTGTAGTTGAAGGCCTCTGAATGCTGCTGTTCAGCCCAAAACTGATCGGAACATCTGAGGGCCTGCTATAAATTTCAGTGAGTATGGCACAGCCTGGGCTAAGGAAGTCAGCATAGGTCACTTTTCTGAAAACAAATGGCCTTTTATTAACCATAGCATCTTCAGAGGCCCAAAACAATTGTCAACAACTTCCAAATGATGAGTTAATTCATCTTGGCTTACTGCAAAGGTCACTGGCAGATGGCGCTGTACAGGTTCAAAGTCTGAAGTCCAATCAGAAATGGTAAATGTAACTCCAGGCACTGAGGGAGAATGAGCTACTAGTGGATGGTGGGTAAAGTCCTTAGTTGGTTTTGTGTGTATAAAAAGCATTTTCAAGTTTTTGGTGCAAGTATGGCTATGCTGCGACATCGGTCAGTGTTGAATTTCTGTCCTGTTCATTTTCAGTGTACAGATGTCCTCAAAGTACCCTAAAGAAAAAAGTAAACGGGTTGCTTCCCAGTCTAGTAAAATCAAATGAAAATAAAATTGGATCCACCTCATTATCATATTGACAGATAATCTGCCTAGCCAAGGTAACAAATGGGTTGCATTCACTTACCACCTCCCCCCCAGTTCAATTTTATGAACATTCAATGCGTCTTCTAGGGAGTGTTCAATCAATACTTGTTGGATTTCGTACTTGAGCCTGTTTTGTTCTAGGTGGAGGTGTTCATCATCTAGTTTGGAGGATAGTGTGATCTGCGCAGCTTGTGGAATGTTGCATAAATAAAAGGTTCTGATTTGAATGCAAAATTCTGTTTGAGTAAAATACATGAATCGGTTTGAAGTGACTTTGGCAATCGCCAGTATTGATTAGATTCTTCATTAGTTATTCATTAATGATAATAATTCCCCCAGTTTTCTTTGTGCAAGTCTTTGTAATTGGACTGTATCCTGAAACAAATGACATTTTAATCTTATGTTTTTGAGAATGTCTGCTGCTTCTTATCACCATCCGTTGCGGTGTGGAGGGCTTTAACTGGCCTTTCAGCAGCAGTCTGAGAGCTAATGTGAGCGTAACCATGGGTTCTTTTCCCCCAAAAGTTATTTTAATTGGAGTTCCTTTGGTAATGTCAGATGTGCTAGCTGGTGCCAATGTAACTATTGTGTAGTAAACAGAACATGTGCTGCAGGTGCACACATCTTATTGTCCTTAGTTTCTCCTTTTTCTGTCTTACTGCGTTTACTCCCAACATGCATTGATACAGCCCAGTTCCCAGAAAAGCTGTTCTCATAGTTTTCTTTGTCTTTTTTTGTCTTTCAAAAGGAAAATTGGGTCAGAATGTTACTAAACAGTTTTTTTTTCCCCCAGCTTCCCATGGTGATAAAATTGAGAGCTGTATAGTTTTGGATGGGGGTGGGGGGTGCCGTTTGACGGCAAGAGCTTTCACAAAATGATCATGTCACCTATTCAATGTTGACTCCAGAGCTCTCCACATATGATGTTGATTTAGAGTCTTTGTGGAGCATCAAGCTCTCCATTCTGATGGCCTCCATCACCCTCTTTGACATGTGGACCTTTCGACATTTCGACCTTGTGAAAAAGTGCTTTTTCACAAGGTCGTTTGCGCGTGTTCACTCTGAATCAACAATTTTGGTTATGTCATTGAATAAAAACATATTCTGAATAAAGGCATATTCAGTCTGCACCAGTAGTTTTCAGTTTGATTCTAAACTGTTCTTATCTCTCTCTCTAGCGTCACTTGAGACTCACCTAAGATGGCAGACATTGACAAGTGAGTATATTCTTTGATTTGCTATCACTCTCTCCGTCACTTGGGTAGTTAGAGGGATCGTACCCGCTGAGACGGCATAGGTCCCCCCATAGGGGGTCAGGACCCCCTATGGGGTAAAATTTCTAAGGCGGGCTTCTTGGGAGGTGTATAGTTTTTTGTTTCAACTCTCAAAACGTGTCCTGGATGCCTCATAGCCCACTCAACATAACACAGGGATGGGGACAGGGTCTGGTTCTCTCACACACACACACACACACACACACACACACACACACACACACACACAGATTTCTCCCCTGCCAGTCATTGATTTTTCACCCAGAATGTGAGGCTGTGCTTCTCGGCCCGTTTCATCCTCGGCGTGCGGCTCTACCGCGCTGCGTCTTAAGCAGGGTGTCTCCTTTCTGCAGCACTGGTGAAAATGAACTCTGGCTTTCATCCCTGCTGAACTTGCTAGATCTGCACAGCAGACAGAGACCAGTTGTTGGAAGGGGTGAAACTAGATTTGAACTAGATCTCAAATTGTTGTCGGACGTGTTCATGATACAGAAGAAGAAACTTTTATGCTGCTTGTCTGAACACCAAAGATAAACTTAAAACCATTACCTATTTTTCAAATTAAGAAGTCTTATATTATATTTTCACTGGCTAGTCAGTTTGTAAAACATTATTTTTAGATATTGACAGACATGCACAAGCTTTGCATCCTGCTTATTTTTCAAACTGCCACCATGATGGTCTATTACAGTCACACGTACAGTTTGAACATCTTTTGATCGCTAGTAGACTGTGGTCGCCTGCAGTCAAAGTCTAGAATAGTTTGACGGGTGACAATTCTGCTCCCTTGGAACAATCTGAAGTCTGTGTGTGTGTGTGTCTGTTTGTCTGACCTTCCCTCGTGTCTCTCCAAGCAGCAAAGACCAGGCTGAGATGGACCCAGCAGATATGGAAGATGTGGAGGACGTGGAAGAGGAGGAGACTGGAGAAGACGAAAACAGCAAAGGTGAGCGCTGCAAATGTATCCCGAGTACAGCCGACGACTCCATGGTGAATCATTAAATGGTGTTAAAATGAAAGTGTCATTTCAGTCAGTTATTTAAATCCTGCTCGAGTTATTTTCATGTTGTGACTCAGACATGTGGGGGCTGGAAGGCTTTTGGTTTGCTTTTTTTAGTTCCTTTTAAGGTTGACATTTTCTTTTTAAATTCAAAGAATCAGCTGGCTCCCACTGTGGAGGGTTATAAATGGCTGTTAGCCCCCCCCTTTTTTTTATTATTTTTATTTGATTTTTTGTGTGTGAATGTTCTTGAGGGAAGAGGACGGATGCCCTTGCTACCACGCTGTGGGGTGTATATATATGCTCGAGTTGGCACTATGCATAAACTGTTAATGCATTAAAGTGTTGCGAGGAACCTCGTCCCATCTCAGATGATGCAGCTTTCGAGCCAAAAGTCCACCTGAGTTTTCAATGACTAGCTCGCATGGTCTGTCCAAAATAAGATCCATCTTTCTTTCTTTCATTCGTTTAAACCTTGCTTTTTGCAACAACCAATCCAACAGAAAAGGCTGCTTGTTGAAAAATTACAGCTGAGATTATGTCGGCAGTTGTGAAGAGTCTTCCCCCCCCCCCCT